GTTTGAAAAATATTGTATATGGTATAAAATAGTGAAAACAATATTTGTTTGGTAAAAACCAAGTCTCCAAGGTCGTACAATACGTGCGTACGGTCTTGACCGTTTTTCACGTGTTAGACCAATTGACCAAGATACAAAAGTGGTTTTTATAAAATAATTATTTGGGAACATTTTAAAAATGCTCAGAGGTAAAAACAGGGTTTAAAATATTGAAAACCACGGAGTTGGTTCGGGCGCCAAAAACCGAACGCCGAAAGCTGAACGCCGACTTAGGTGGTTTCGGTTCTGAGAAAGGACCAGGGATTTTAACAATAGAAGAAATCATCAAAAATGTTTGTTTTGATGCACAAAAAATATTTTGTGATTTGTAAAAATTGTTTTGACTTTTTGAGAACCGAGACTTGAATTTATTGTCGGTTTTGATCACAAAAGACCGACTCGACTAAGTCTTCAATTCTTGATCTTGTCCTTGAGTCTTTTAGGTCTTGTTCCAAGCCATTCTTCACGCCTTGAGTTATTCAACGAAACTCTTTATATCCACGGCGGTTTGGCAATTATCAAAACTTGTCAGAAATGAACACGACTTTAGTTTATCGTACAAAGTGTGTTCCAACAGATATGTGCTTGCGCACAATCCTCTCCACCCGATAAGGGCCTTCCCAATTCTGGGCCAACTTTCCTCCTCTAGTGGGTTGACTTTTCTCCCTTTTTCGCAGGACCCAATCTCCGACTTTGGATGTCGAAGTAAGGTTTTTTGACATGATACCTTTTGGATTGCCGTTGGTATTCTTCCGCCTTCATTGCCGCGTCGTCCCTCCTTTCTTGAGTGAAATGGGAATCTACTTCCAGCAATTTCTCATTGAGGCTTGGGGTGTATGCCTCCACCCTCGTGCTAGGGACTAAGACCTCGGTGGGTACCTTTGCCTTGAAACCATAAGTTAAGGCAAAGGGAGTTTCTCTTGTGGCCCTCCTTGGAGTAGTTCTATGGGCCCACAACACATAGGACAGCTCTTCCACCCAAGAGGTGTCTAACTCATGCAATCTCTTCTTAATACCGTCCACAATCGTTCTCTTGGCATTCTCCACCTGCCCGTTGCATTGTGGGTAGGCTACGGCCGCTCGACTGAGTTTAATCTTCCATGCATCACAGAATTCCTTGAAACTTGTGTTGGCAAATTGAGTGCTATTGTCCGTTATGATTTACTCAGGGACCCCAAATCTACATAGCAAATTCTTCCATACGAACTTTCGGCAATTTTCCTCCGTAATCTTCACAAGGGCCTCCGCTTCGACCCACTTGGTGAAGTAATCTATTGCCACGATAGCAAATTTCTTCCTTCCAGCTCCCTGGACGAAAGGGCCCACCAAATCCAACCCCCATCTAGCAAAAGGGATAGCCGTAGTGACAGGGGTGTAAAAGGTGGATGGGCGTCCAGGGATTGGTGCAAATGCTTGACAGGTTAGGCATTTCCTAACCAATTCCAGTGCATCCTTCTTCAAAGTGGGCCAATAAAACCCCTGTAAAATCACCTTCCTTGCCAAAGTGAGGGCACCTTGATGGGCAGAACAGACTCCTTGGTGCACCTCTTCCAATATTTTTCTCGCTTCTCTTTCATCTAAACACTTGAGCATCGGTCCACCCAAGGTCCTTTTGTACAATCTCCCTCCATTCAATTGATACTTAGGAGCCATCAATTGGACTCTACTGGCCTCCTTGGGGTCAACAGGGAGCTCTCCCTTTTCAAGATATGTGGAGAGGGGGCTCATCCATGTTGTACTTGGACCGGATATCTCAAGAACAGGGACCGCCTCTTCCCAAACAAGACAAATCTTTTCATGCTGCCTCACCATGCTTTCCATGTGGACCGAGACGGTCCTACACAGTTTGGCAAGCATTTCCGCCTCTTCATTTTCCTCCCTTGGAACATATATGAGTTCATAATACTCAAATCTTCCAAGTAGGGTCCTGGCGCAGTCTCTGTATTTCTTCAACCTTCCTTCTTTTGCTTCCATCTCTCCTCTTAGCTGCCCAATGGCTAATTTTGAATCAGATTTGAGGCGAGCGTTCCTTATTTTCATAAATAGGGCAATCTGGATTCCCCCGATGAGGGCCTCGTACTCTGCTTCATTGTTGGTGGCCCGAAACATGAACTTAAAGGAGTGATAGGCCTTAAAGCCTTCAGGGGAGGTGAGGACAGCTCCTCCCCCTGATCCGTCCTTACTGCAGGATCCATCTAAATGTATTTCCCACATCTCCCTTTTTCTTTCCTAGTCCGTCCCATCCTCTTCTGGCTTCCCTCTTGTTGTACACTCCACCATGAAATCGGCAATGACTTGGCCCTTCTTGCTGGAACGGGGTTGGTAAAAAATATCATATTGAGAGAGGACCATGGCCCACTTGATGACCCTTCCAGAGGACGATGGGTCCCTCAAAACTGCTCCCAAAGGTTGATCCGTCATGATTCTCACTGGATGAGCTTGGAAGTAAGGAGTTAACCTTTTCACAGTCACCACCACTACCAAGACACATTTTTCCAAGGGAGTGTATCTTGTTTCTGGTCGTCTCAAGGCCCTGCTAGTGTAATAAACTGGCTTTTGGACCCCTCTTTCTTCCCTCAGGAGGACTGAACTTACTGCCAAGTGAGCCACTCCTAAATATAAGAATAGGTCATCCCCTGCCAGCGGCTTGGAGAGGACCGGTGGAGAGCTCAAATATGCTTTCAAGTCTTCAAAAGGTTCCTGGCACTCTGCGGTCCACTGGAAATTTCCCCCTCCCTTTAAAATTGTAAAAAAGGGTAGGGACAGCTCCGCACATCGTTCCAAGAATCTCCCCAGGGCTGCTATCCTTCCTGCTAATCTCTGGACCTCTCTCAAATTTGTTGGGGCTTCCATGTCTTGGATGGCCTTCAACTTGTCCGGATTGACTTCAATTCCTTTCTTGCTCACCATATACCCAAGGATTTTTCCTCCCTGGACCCCAAACACACATTTTTCAGGATTTAACCTTAAATTATGCTTCCTCATGATGCTGAAACATCTTTCCAAGTGCTGAGGATGGTCCGCTGTCTTTTTACTTTTTATCAGCAAGTCATCCACATAAGCCTCCATGATTTGTCCTAGGACCTCCTTGAACAGTAAGGAGATCATTCTTGTAAATGTGGCCCCCGCGTTACACAGTCCAAAGGGCATGACCACGTAACAGTATACTCCTTCAGGGGTGATGAAGGCCGTGGGTTCCGCAACCTCTCTGTGCATGAAAATTCGATGGTATCCCCGGAAGGCATCCATGAAACTCAACAGTTCATGGCCTGCCGTTTCGTCTACTAATTGATCCACTCTTGGTAGTCGAAAGGGGTCCATAGGACACGCCTTGTTGAGGTCCGTGAAGTCTACGCACATGCGAAATGTGTCCCCCTTTGGTGCCAGCACCACATTAGCGAGCCACTTAGGATAATGGACCTCTCTAATGTGGCCGGCCTCCAAAAGGGTTTTTACCTCCTTCCTCACAAATTCCTTTCTATCCGTCGACAGATACCTTTTCTTCTCTTTGACTGGGAGGGAACCCATCTTGATGTTCAACTTATGGAAAATGATTGAAGGATCGAATCCAGGCATATCTTTGGATTCCCATGCGAAGAGGACCGAGTTTTCTCTTAGTACTCGGATAATCTCTTCACGGGTATCCTTCTCTAGCCCTAAGCCGATCCTTACGACCTTCTCTGGATCCCCATCAGAGAATAGCATCACTTCTTCCATTTCTACAGCTGTCTTAGGCCTCTCCCGGTCCTCCTCTTTCCTTTCTTTATCTTCCAAGGCTTGTCCAATGGTTTGGATGTTGAGGTTCTCCTTGTCTATCTTCTTGCAGGAATTTAGATAAGCCTTCTTGGCTGCGGGCTGGTCACCAAGGGCTCTTCCAATACCTTTGGGAGTCCTGAACTTGAGGCATAAGTGTTCAAGGGACAGCGTCCCTCCTAAGTCCTCTAGTCCAGGCCTCCCTAAGATGGCATTGTGAGCGCACTTGATATCAACTACCACAAAATCCATCTTCATATTCCTCACCTTTAGATGCTCGCCTATGATGACCTCCAACTTAATGGACACTTCCGGTTCAATTATGTCTCCGGTGAAGCCGGATAAGGGCATATTAAGCCTTGTGAGATCTTCCTTCATGATTCCCAGTTGCTGGACCGCCTCCCAATATAACACATTGACACTGCTCCCTGTGTCCACCAATATTCTTTTGAAAAACAATTTGTGAGTAGCCATAGAAATTACCAGGGGGGTCCGGTGAGGACTAGGAATGAGCGGCAAATCTTCGTCCGAGAAGACAATGGGCTCCCTTCTTTCTTTCTTGGCCACTTGGCCCACGTCAATGGACCCCACATATAGCCTGCGGGCCCATTCCTTCCTCTCCTTGTTTGTGACTCTCGTTTCTGGACCGCCAAAGATGACTCCTACTTGGGGGAATTCTTCCAGGTTCTCCTGGATTTGTTGTTGAGGTTGGGCATCCCTACGCCAAACATTACCCCCTTGGTTCGGCTCTCTATTAGCATTCGGTCCCCTCTCCTTCATCTGTCCTTCCATCTTCTTGAGGAACATGCATTCCTCCGTGGCGTGTCCGGCCCTTCTATGGAAGTTACAATATTTGTCTGGGTCATAGGGCCACTGCTTCCTTTTTGGTCTCCACGTTTCCTTTTCTGTCCACCTCCCTCCTTACTCTTAATTTCTGCCACTGGCGCGGCCAGTGACTTAAGGGTAGGGATGGAGAGAGTGGTTGCCTTAGTTTTCTCGCCTTTCCTCTCTTTGTCTGAACCTTTGTGCAAGGCTCCCTCATTCTTATCCTTCAGGCGATCAGACTCTTCCGTGGCGCAAAACTTGTTGACCCTAGCCATCATAGCCTTGTAGGAAGTAGGGGTATCGTAATCTAACCTTCTGAATAATTCCCCCGATCTCAGAACACTCATGAATAGAGCGATGGAAGTCTTATCGTCCATGGGCTCCACCTCATTGATTGCCTCATTCCACCTTTGCACCAACTCAGTGTTGGTTTCTCTCTCCTTTTTCTTTAGGGAGAAAAGATGGGTGAAGTGCTTCTTTGGCTGGAACCTTCCTCCATATGCATTGAGAAAGAGTTGGGCAAGATCTTTGAAGCAATCAATGGTCCCATTAGAAAGGGTGAGGAACCATTTTACGGCCGGCCCTTCCAAAGTCCCTACGAAAAGGCGACACTGGATTTCATCCTCCACCGCGTGCATCAGCATGTGAGTTTGGTATGCGGCCAAGTGATCATTGGGATCAGTGACTCCTTTGTAACGGGCTTTCATACCCCTGGGCAGCTTAGCTTTCATCACCCTGGAAGTAAAAGGGGAGATTATCTCCACGGTGGGCCCGAAAGACCCATCCCTATCGATTTGCCTTTTTAGTTCCTCCATCTCTTTCCTCAGTTTGAGGATATCTCTGGCATCTTCATTGCGGGGCTCCTCAGAATTTTCTCCAGATTCCTCAGTTCTGGGTCCTAGCCTCTGGGATGCATTTTTGCGCATCCTCTTGTGTACTGATATGCGTCCTTGACTTTCCACCTCCTCACCCTCTCCTTGGCTCGTCTCCCTCTGGTTCCTTTGGGACCGGGCCTCTCCTTCCTTGTTGAGCCATCCGATTAACTTTCGGAATATAGGGGAGTTGGCATTGAATCTCTCTGTTGCTGCCTGAGAGTCTTTTGGATGAGAACTCTTAGGGGCTTTAGAGTGTAAACTCTGTTCACAAGATTTGTCTTGTGTTTCATGCCTGGACTAGGAGAGAGTTATTTGATGTCTGAGATCCTGAGACGAAAGCTTTTCTCTCCCCTCCAAGTTGGTTCGTGCCTTAGCGGTGATTCTGTTTCTCTTGGACCGATTTTTGCCCATGATGACAGTTTAAAACCTTCTTTGATGGAAATGGGGGACCGATATGGGATAGCGGTCCTTGAGCAAAAAATCGGTCCCTCTGGGTGACCGAATTATGAGAGCGGTCCTTTGTGATGGACCGATTAATACCAAGAATCCTTCTAGATGGACCGCGAACTTATCTCCTTCACTTGGGGTGGACCGTTGATTCTTCCCAAATCTAGGGGGAGGCCTTCCCAAGTGAATAGGAGTGAGATAGGCTCGCTATCAACTTTCCAGAAGGCTAGGAAGCTTCAATTGGTCCCACGGGTGGCGCCAGTGATGGATACCCAATATTTTCCCAAGGACTGTAGATCGGCCCAGGTCCAAAATTTAGGTATCCGGACCTTGCAATAGTGAAGGGTAATACGAGAATAATAATTGTTAATAACGGAAAGTACTGCTCACAGAATGGGAACTCAATCCGGCGGTCCTTTCCTCTATTCGGTCCACTTAGGATCGGAATATACTCAGGGATGGCCAGAATATCTTTTATTATTACTCAAGTATTTTCTCTCTCTATTACAAGATGATCCTTCCTCTCTTAGTCTATCCTTCTTTTATAGGTACTCCCTAGCCACCATCTCATCAAAATATTCTCAAAATATTCGTGGTAGCTGGGGAGGATCTTCAAGCCATCCTTGCTTTTCTCGGAGGAATGTATATCTTAGCTTGAAGCCGTCCACTGGAAGACAAACTTGTCCGTCCATCTCTTATTCTCTGTCCTTCGCCCGTTCCTTACTCTTTGTCTTTGTCCCTCCTGTGGAGGGCGGCTTACCCTAATCCCTCTCTAGGATTCCTTCCTTTTGGGTGGCTTGTTCATAATGGGCTGGGGTTCAGCCCATTCTTAAGTCCCCAATCCTATTCTTTTTCCTATCTTTCTTCACGGACAACTTCCCTTAACCGGCACATTATATTTTCTCTTGGCCGGATTCTCCTTTTGATGGACGGGATCTAGATTGGACCTAGGCCCAATTTGCTGGTATTCTCTCGATGGGCTTGGTTCACATCAATGAGTGTGAATCGTAAAAATAGTGAGATGAAAAAAAAATTGTAAACTATAGTTATGAACATAGCATTTATAATTATTAATATTAATAATAATAATAATAATAATATTATTACATTAAAAATATATCGTTTTTAGAGTAATTGGATAGGGAGTAGAAAGAGTTTGAAGAAAATGAGAATAGTTGGAAGAAACTGTAAGGAGCTAGAAGGAATTAAAAGAAACTAGAAGGAACTGAAAGAAACTGGAAGGACTAGAAGAAACTGGAAGTTAACAGTTCAAGCCCTAAAAACAAGTTCTAAACTAAACTAAAATTACATCATCTATCGCTCTATATTAATTCCTATTTATTTCCTAATAAGATTTTATTCTCACTAGAATAAGTATGTGTGTGCGTATAGACACACACACACACCATATGAGCAGACTTCTGTTATTTTGGATAGGTAATAGAACTTCTTTTTCGACTTTCCTCTACATATCCCCACTAACTTTTTGAATTTTGCAAAATACATCGAGCTAAAAGTCTATAAAGTGTACTGGATACGACGTATTTTACTAATGTATAGTTTATATTGAGAATGATTGTTTTTAGAGTCAATTTCTAATAAAATCGTTACGAATATAGTTTTTTATCATATGAACTCTCAATAAACAATAATTAGTTGCATGGTACTTTAAAATTGAAATTTATTCCTTTAGATGTCCTCCATCAAAAACTTTGTGGCTGGTTGTTAAGTGGGGAAATTTTTGTTATTTTTTTATCAACTAAACATAAAGTAATTCTTAAAATTTTTATTTTCTAATTAAGTGTTTTTTTTCAAAATGGTCCCTTCCATTTAATGCGGTTTCTGTAAGCAATGGATTCATTATGCTAATATGCAATATAAATTGAGAGTAATTGGAGTTCAAAGTTTGTCCAGTTTGACTCGAAAAAGTCAAACTCGATCAACAAATACACTGGGACGGAGGTAGAATTTGTTTCAAGTAATATACCCCCTTCCGTCCCTAAATATTTGTCACACTTGTACTCCCGAGGTAATATCAAGTTTTTTCAATTGATTTTATTTTCATATTGGTATAGAAATCAAAAAATAAAATTTACATATCAAAAGCTACATGAAAAGTTATTCGAAATAAGAGGTGTCAAGAATATTTTATTTTATCAAATAACCAATGAAAACGTAGAAATAAACAAAAGTTCTCGCGACTGCTGAAAAAGCAAGTGTGGCAAATATTTTGGGATAGGAGGAGTATATACTTTATACTTAAAAGAATAAATATGTATTAAAAGTATTCTTTTTTTTTAAACTAAAATTTTTAACATTTAAAAATAGGATTGATATTCATATGGAGAACTTGCTGTAAAAAAATCACTTATATTTTTTGGATTATATCATACAAAAATATATATGAAGAAAAATGGAATCATCCTTGTAAATCACTTTAATGTATTTCTCAATATTGAAATTTTACTTTAAATACTAATGCACATAAAAAATAATATAAATTTAATATAACTTGAATCAAACATTACAAATTTTTATGTATAAATGAATGGAGTATTATTTTATATATATATATATATATATATATATATATATATATATATATATATATATATATATATATATATATAGCATCATTCACGTCTAACATCAACGTCCCTAAGAAGCGCATGACTAAGAGCATGTTCTTTAATGCAGAAAAAAAGAGTTGCATGTTGGAAGAAATTGGAAAAAAGTGGAAGAAACTGGAAGGAATTGAGAAAACTAGAAGGAACTGGAAGAATTTGAAAAAAACTCGAACGAACTGGAAAATCATCAAAAAAATTGGAAAACCTTAAAAAACTTTAAAAAAATTATTTTAAATTCTTGTTGTTATAATTATTATTATCATTTTTATTATATAATAATAATAATATTATTATTATTATTATCATCATAATCACCATCATCATCACATTATCGATCTTAATGAATTCCTTTAAGATACAAAAAAGTATTGTTATTTTTCAAATACAAAAAATTACTTTTGCAAAAAAATAATTATAATATAAAGTTAGCATAAATATAAAAATATTAAATTTTAAAAAGTTTTTGTGGTTACATTGCACCTCAATATATTTATGTAGTATTTATTATAGATAATATATTTGTAATTATACTTTATACATAACAAGATTTTGTTTTAAATATCAGAAATGTCATATAATGTAATCGAACCTATTTTTTATTTCATGATTGAAAATATAAGATTTTGTATTTTATATATATATATATATATATATATATATATATATATATATATATATATATATATATTATGTATGTATGTATGTATAATAAAATTGTATTATTTTCCAAAAACAGAATTGTATTATTTCACACATGAGATTTAATAAAATTTGACAGTGGACTGGAACGAAGTTCATGCCCAGCGATTCGTGGTTCTTTAGGTGTTGGCACTTTCAATCCTTATTTTTCTGGGGATTGAGAGTCTATTTGCAAGTGGTCAACCAGTTAGATTCAGAATGGTCTGGTTGTCCATTTGAGGGAAGTGTTAAAGAATATCTCACATCGAAATTTGAAGAGAAAATAAATCGGTATATAACCTCCTGAGTTAAACTCACTAATCGATTGGATTCATTCTTTTAAGGTGGTTCAACCCAAGTGTCTTATTTTCCAATCTAGTTAACCATGCACCATCCTACATTTTATCATAGTTTTTTTAAGAGTGTAAAATTAATGTTATGTTCAAAGATGGTTTTTTTCTTGCATTTTCATATGAAAAAATGTTTGTCGCATTTTAAAGTGTAAATTAGATTTTAAACCAAAACTGATATCAAACTATCTCGAACTGATATATCGGGATCGGGATCGCTACAATTTAAAATCTCATACAGTACCAAAATATTTGGTACAATTTGTGCTACATACTCTACCATACTCACCCTTAAATTCTACATGAAATTTGTATCTGTTAATTTGCATTTTATTATGGATACTCTGTATCAAGAATTTTTTAGATTCTTAAAGTCCATAGATTATTTAAATATCAATAATTGATTATAAATAAACAAAAATAGCTAAAAAAATTATTTATGACTTCTGAAAAAGTGTTTAAAAACATATGGATAAAAATAACCAATTAGTAAAAAATCAAATAAATTTATTTTCAAAAACATTAGAGTCATATGTGATATATTTCACAAAAAAATTATTTTCTAAAAAATTAAAAGACCACATTTATTTAAGTGCTAATCTTTGCTGAAATTATCTAATGCATTTATTTTTTGAAAAAAAGTAAGAAATAAAGTTCTAAAACATATTCACTAAAATCTAATCAGATGTATTTAACAATTGAAAGTTTTTGGACCCTACATGAGTTTCTTGAAAAGAAAAAACAATTATTGTCGCTTGGATTTTCATCACAAAGATAAATTCCAAAAAAAGAAGTTTACTTCCTCCGTGCTAAAACTTTCTTCCCGCTTATTATTTTCATGGTGAAATTAAATTCACTTTTTTGTCTCTTTTCATTAGACATTTGATAATATAATGTAATAATGTCACATCTTGTTTTATAGATTTTTTGATTTAGTTTTTAATTATATAAATTTTATTTTTAAATTGTAGACTTATAATCAAATAAATTATATTGAATATAACTTCAGTCAACTCTCGTATATTAATATGGCCTATATGGGAAGAAAATTTTAAGATGAAGGGAGTAAATTAATCACACGTATTTTACTTTTTAACTTTATTAAAATTGTCACAAGAATTATTTTACAAAAACAAAAAACAATATACTCACATGGGATATACATATATTGCGAAAACAAATATTTTCCAAGAAGAGAATCATATTATTTCATAAATGAGATTTAACCAAATTCGATAGAGACCTGAACTGGTGGCCTTGACCCGAGATCACCCCATTTGAAATTCAACGGGATGAACTTGAATTGGGAACTAAAGGGGAGGCAAAGGACATTAGGTGTCCCAGAGTAGACATAAATCATAATTACAACCTTCAGGCCTAATTTGAAAAAATATTTTATTGAAAAGTTGATGGATATGAGGTCTGATGACCCGACTCCAGATCCAATAAAGGCCCGCAACCGTGCGAAGTGGACAAGTCCAGATACAATCAGCGGATTGAGCCCGCTAAGACGCTAGTGGCGAATAGAAAGGACGGCCCAATCATGGGCCGAGTTAAAATGACCCAATCCGAGGAAGGAATGGGACACGTGGCCCACACCACCAGATTGTGGGCGAAATGGGATGAGAACGAGACCGGAAAAGAGGGAATCACAATCCCATGATCTCCATAATTCCTCCCATTATATGTAATTTTAATTAAGAAATTAGAAGTAGTATAAAAGGGGAAAGAACCCGCCATTGTAAGGGGACGACCCAAGCAATTACACACTTAATTAAAGAATATTATTGAGTGGATACATTTTTCCGATTCATAGTTCGTTCTTGGTCCGCCATCTGATCCGGTTAATCCCATCATTGGTGCTTCCATTGAGAGAAACTGTGAGATAAAACTGTGAGACTATGGCCGGACGAAGGACGAGACGTAACAACGCCACTTCCGCCCAGTCGACGGTGAGGAGTGACCACCCTGAACAAGGCATGATCGTTCCTGTCAATGGGCTGGAAACAGCGTTGAATAATGTGGCTAACATGATGGCCAACATTATGGAACGCTTGGATCAGGCTCTTCCTGGCCCATCCGGTACCCGGAATATCCCTGCCGGGCAGCCCTGCCAGGTCCTGCGTACTGCCAGTTCTCCCATCCTCCAGGAACTTCATGACCCGGAGGAGGTCGAGAGGGAGAGACAGGCCATCGTCAGGCACCAGGCAGAGGAGATGGCCCGAAATAATAGGGCGAAGGGGAATCGAACCAGGGCTGTGAGTCAAATCATAGGTAACGGAAATGAGAACCCGCAGGGGACAGTATTTGAAAGGATATCTCACCAGAGGGCTCACGTTAGTGAGAGGCTGGAGAAGAATCCGGACAAGGCGCCCCAGGGTTGGGTACGACCCCAGGCCAGCCAAGTGGCATCCTCCAACCGCGAACCACGGCAGCGAGCCGGCCGCGGTGGGAGCCAAGCCCCGATCCGGTCATTGGTGGTCTTGGACGAGGAAGAAGTTCAGAGTCAGGCCAGGGTCCCAGCACCGCAGCGTCTAGGGCCGCAAGTACCGGAGGCTGGCGAGTTCCAGGACTTGAGGCAGCAGATCTAGGAGATGCAGAGGAAGATAAACAGGGGACGAGTATTCACTACCCGGATGAATACTCCGCTCGCCCCCGAGATCTTTGCGGAACCATATCCGCAGGGCTTCAAAATGCCATTTGTCAAGCGTTATGATGGGGAATCGGATCCCCAAGAACACATAAATAGCTATGTCCAGGTGATGATCGCCGTTGATGCTAGCGACGCGTTGATGTGCCGATGTTTCTTGCAGACATTTGATAGCAAGGTTGCAGACTGGGTAAATCACATTCCTGCTGATCGATCCGGACGTGGGATGAATTGGGATTGCGGTTTCTAGAGCATTTTGCAGAGAACTGCCATCCCAAGAAGCCTTTCATGCCACTCACTTGGCTTCAGTGCGGCAGAAACATGGAGAGTCCTTGAAGAATTTCCTGGTCTGATGGAGAAAAGAATCCAGGGAGGTGGAAGGAATAGATGATAAATCCAGGTTAGCCATGTTCACGGCGGCGTTGCAGGATGGTCTCCTTCATACCGATCTTACAACTCATCCCCCGGATACCTTTGAAGAAGCAATGGTCCGGGCCGGAAGGTACGTGACCCCTGAGGAGAGAAAGGAGGAGAAGAAAGAGAAGACTCCCAAAGAAGAAGAGAAGGCGGGAAACAAGAAGCCTTTCAAGAACAAGAAGCAGGGCTTCCCGGATGGCCTAAAGGGAACAAACCCTGGGACCTCGGAGAAGCACAAATCTGCCAATCCAGTGTTTACATTGCTGGTAGCTAAGGTCATGGCCCATGCTACACAGCAGGGACTGATGACATATCCAACCTATTCCCAGAAGGTCTGTAATGTGGAGGACACTGGGAAATGGTGTGCTTACCATCGCAAAAATGATCACAACACAGAAGACTGTTATACCCTGAAGAATGAGATGTTGAGGCTAATCCGCCGGGGCCATCTGAAGAAATTTGTACAAGATGGTGACGTGGGAAATCCCGGGAACGCTCAGAATGGGAAGCCTAGAGATAAGGAGGTGGCCCAGGCGGAGGCCTGGGAAAAACGCCACATCGGGCTTGAAGATGAAGAGGAAGATTCAGAGCCCGCACCACACCGGCAGAAGAGGCACCACGGGTGTAATTACATCATTGGTGGGAATATTGGTGGAGACTCGGCCACTAGCCGGAAAAAGTGGGCCAACGCGGCGATAGTCAACAAGGTGGTGGTCCCAGAAGGTAAGAAGCTGAAAACTGAGCCGAATGTATTTTCTAATGCGGATTTGCCAGAAACAGGGGTCCCCCATAGGGACGCCCTGGTGATTACGATTGATATAATGGACTTGCTGATCCACAAGACTCTGGTGGATACGGGAAGTTCCGTTAACATCATGTATATGGATACTTACAAGGCTCTTGGTTTGACAAGAGATGAGTTATCACCCATTAAGACTCCGCTGACCGGGTTCACAGGCGGCTCTATTGAACCGGAAGGGGTGATAACCCTGCCGGTCGAGATAGGAGATACTAAGGCCACCCGGAAGTTGGACATTGAGTTTGTTGTAGTGGGCATAATCTCCAATACCAATATCATCCTGGGCAGACCCGGATTAGAAGATCTAGAGTGTATAATCTCACCTCGTCACCTATGCATAAAGTTTCCAACCCCCCATGGAGTTCGAATTGCATGGTATTTGAAGGCTACTAAACAACCTATCAAATACGACACCCAAGTGGGGGAGGTGACTGCACAGCTCCTAAGGGCCGAGGAGAGACGTCCCAGAGTAGAAGGTGCAGGCGACATTGAGGAGGTTGAACTGGAGCCGGGCATGTCGGGAAGGCTGGTCAGAATTGGAAAGGACCTGGGGGCTGAACTTAGGTCGCGGGTGATCTCTGTTCTTAGAAGGTTCAGGAAGGTCTTTGCATGGAGTCCAGCTGATATGCCGGGGCTGGATCACAAGATTACAGTCCATCGCCTCAATGTATTGCGGGATGCTAAACCGGTGAAGCAGAAGCAGAGACATTTGTCGCAGGAAAGGAGAGACTTCGTGAAGAAGGAGGTTGCAACCCTGCAGAGCATTGCACACATCCGGGAGATGCATTACCCGGATTGGTTGGCAAATGTAGTCTTGGCGCCCAAGCCTCCTTCGTGGAGAATGTGCGTCGACTACACAGATTTGAACAAAGCATGCCCGATGGATCCGTTTCCTCTCCCCAATATTGACCAGATGGTGGATGAGACTGCCGGATCGGAATTCATGAGCTTCATGGATGCTTTTAGTGGATACCATCAGATCTAGTTGCAGTCTTGGGAGTTAGTTGATGGTTTAGAAAAAAACAAACCGTGCCCTTTCATCTAATTCTCACATCCTCTTTTACTTTTCTTAAATACTCTTTATTTGTTTGCTTTCATTATTCCGTAGTAGTACCTAGTGTAGAACCCATTTACATCCTCCCTCAAATATTCTGTTTTTTCTTGATTTATGAAATTTGATTGAAAATATTTTTTATTAAATTTATAAGATTCATCATAAATAAGATTAAAACATATGAAAAATATTAAATATGAGCTCCATATTTTTTGTCTTCTAAATAGAAATTATTTTTTTTATATTTTACTATTTCTTTAATCTTTTTTAGCAAATTTATTTAATTATAAATGTAAAATTTTAAAATAAAAATTATATTTTTAAAATTATATAAAAAAAATAAAAACAATTAAGTTTATATTAACTGATGAAAATAAGTAAAAATAGATAATTAAAATTTGACTATGTTAACAATAATTAGAAATAAAGTTTTAGTGCTTAAGGAGTAAATTGCAAATACTTATTGATTTGTTTTTGATAGATTATTATTAATCTATAAATCTATAGTATATCTAATTACTTTGATTGGATTAAGAATGGTTTTATATAATTTTGAACAAATTCGTTACTCGGTAGATGACAAATGACCAAAATCTTATTCAAGAAGCAAAAGTTAATACTCCTTATTTGGTATGATTAAGAATAATGACATTTTGTTGTTATATTTTTGCGAATGATTTTAATCTTTGAGATACAATTTATTATTGATTTATCAGTTTATATTGTAGTTTAAAATTCGGGAGTATTGCCTTGGACTCCCCCGACCTCGAGTGTGCCCCCCACTAGTGACCTCCTGGCTCCGCCACTGGTGAGAAATGTGTGAGAGAAAGATTTTTTTAGGGGAATTTATAGGGTTTTTTTAATTTAATTTTTTTTTTATAT